GCTGCTGCTGCTGCTGCTGCTGGTGGTGGTGGTGGCGGCGGCGGCGGCGGCGGCGGCGGTGCTGGTGGTGCTGGTGGTGGTGGTGGTGGTGGTGGTGTTGGTGCTGGTGCTGGTGCTGGTGCTGGTGCTGGTGGTGGTGGTGGTGGTGGTGGTGGTGGTGGTGGTGGTGGTGGTGGTGGTGGTGGTGGTGGTGATGGTGATGCTGCTGCTGCTGCTGCTGCTGCTGCTGCTGCTGGTGATGGTGGTTATGGTGGTTATGGTGGCTATGGTGATGCTGGTTATGGTGATGATGGTTATGGTAATGATGGTGCGGTTGGCTGAAGGTCAAAAACTTGCAAATGGAATCCGAAATGAGTCTAGGGGAAGGACCAGTGAAAGCCAAAGCCTTCTACCTTTCATGGTGGGATGAGAACTTGCAACTTCTGGGAATTTTCCTTGACTCCCCAATACAGAAACGCCAGCTCAGATGTAAGCCGCCTAAGGCGAGCACTTCGTGCTTTTTGATCTTTTTGAATTGTCGGACAACATACAGAATCTTCGCGATTGTCAGTGACCGTCAAGCCTAGACATGTCATCTGGCCGACCTTGGGCTGTGGAGAACTACAGATTTCCTACATGCGGGTTGGCTCTTCCTTTCGCGAACCTTTGCCAACTTTCGCGAATGAAGCTGACGGTTTTTGTGCTACCACTCCTCCGTGTCCATGCCACGCATGACTTCTGCAGCGTTGGCAAAATTAAATATGATCTATTCTTTTGGATGCCCAAGGCAGATGATTATTTCGACCCCTTCACGCTTGGGTGCTCCTGCTTCTTAGAAGAGGGCGCACATTAATTTCCGTTCTTGCTTTCATCACCTTATTAGACAGAAATGGTCGAGAGAGGGTTTTGCCCAACATCGGATGTGCCATCCTGGCCATAGCACTGCCCAGTTGCGTTGGGTAAGCGACCTTTCTTTAATAGAATCGACATCGACCGGCCGGTGGCAAAATGTCCATCCCGAGGCACAAGTTCTCAAAGCGAGCAGCGTGCCATTGTAAAAGCAGCCGGTCGCTTTAAAGTTGCCATTCTGTCTCGCCCGCTTCAGCACTAGCCTGACTTTGCTGTCCTCCACTTTGCTAGCTCCATTGACTCCGGGCAAGGTAGATAGCAAGCAAGAGTGGTCGCCTACATGCGACAGCATGCACCAGCTAAACATGCCAGCCGACCGTAAGTTCCCTTGCCCTCGTGCGTAGCACAACCGCGATGGACTGCAGCAACATACCTGTCTGCACGAGTGCCGTTGCTGCAATGCAGGTGGCTCTGGGCTACACATGGCAAGTAAGCCGCCAGTACGGAAGTGTTGACCGCGCACTGCGTGTCTTTGACAGGATCAGGGGCAGCATCACAAGTTTTTGCTGTAGCATACCTGGGTATGATGAAATTTGATAGACACTTGAGAAAGGCAAATTTCGGGATCACACTGCCCGCTGCAGCCATAGCGTGGGTCACCAGGAAACTTGCCTGAGAAAAGAATGGTCAAATGTGACAAATGAAGCCTTGGCAAAAATGCAGGTGCAACATGGCATGTACTGAGATGCAAGCTAATTGGGGCACTGCATGCTACTGTCTTGCCTCAGTCTGTGCTTGCTGGGCAGACTCCGCAAGCATCAAGATCAGATACATGTTAGGGCAGGGCGTCAATCCTGCGTTGCTAGAATGCGGCAGTTTAGCACAGGTTTTGAAATGCAGGAAGAAGTAGCCATGTTTCTTCATGCGGAGGTCGTAGTACCCCGGCCTTAGCACCGCAGATGCATGCCAAACAAAATCCACATGTGAAGCCAAGCAAGAGGCTCAACCTTTACAAGCTTTGGAGGCCGAGAGATTCACTTGGCAACCGTTGAAGTTGTCTTGTGCATTCGACCTCCATCTATCACAGCGACCAAGATCGCATCAACAAACCATTCACTGACATGAATGCAAATCTCGGCATTCAACTCAACTTTTTGTCGGGCACGTTGCCTATCCAACACCTGTGACATTCGGCCGGCAAGCACATGCAGCAGAGACGGGAAACTCAACAGAACATCACGTGATTTGAGCTCTCGACTGCGAATTGCCTTCAAGCAAGGGGATGGCGTTTGAAACATCACGCTGGGACATCCCATCCATGCGAAGCTCTGATTCAGATTATGCAAGTGAGAGGCCAAGTCTCGAGCAACGGACAAGTGGCATGCATTGTGTGGACCCCCAGCCCACCAACCGTGGGCACGGTCCAGCGTGCTAAGAGACTAGGACCTGCTTTTGCTTTTGTGCACCAGTCTTGCAGGTTGTACTCGATGCTGTTCTGGTTGTTTATGCTCCAGTTTGTGCGAATTGTGCTCGATGTTGTGCTCACGTTTGTGGTCCAGTTGCACAGATCGTCCTTGATTTGTGCTGGAATTGTATGCGCTGCGCGTCTTGTGCTCCATCTTCAAATTAAGAGTCTCAATGACCAGCACACGGCAAACAGACCTTTGGCATGCGTTTGCACACAGCTAGCGTCTGCAACATGCGCACACTCCACATGCTCCCACATGCACCATGCTGCTGGGGAAGAAGCAGTAACAGCAGGAGCGCAAGGTGGGGCGCACCAGCCCTAAGTACAGCCTGTTGACTAACTGGCAATGAAGGACCTCCAGTTTGCGCGAATTGTGATCCATTTTATTTCCTGTCTTACACTCTTTTGTGCTTTCGTTTTTGTCCCTGGTCTTCTGTGACTCCGTTTTGTTTGTGCTCCAGTCTAGCAAACAACTCGCTTTGAATCGGATTACTTAAGATTCTGAATTCTTCCGAGCTCCTGATTTATGGAGCCGCCCCTAGCATTCAAGATTCTTTGGGGACAGACTTGGGGCAAGACGACTTTAGAGGATTTTAGAGGCAGGGTGCTTTCGCTGCCAAGAACCCTCCGTTCATGAAGCAAGTGTCCAACTCCAGGCAGATAGGAGGGTTTTGTTGAATCGGGAAGTTGATTCAAAAGGTTGGAAGTGTCGGGGGCGCGGAAGTACTTGGCTGCTTTACAAATTCGCCTAGGGTATAGGGCTTAGGGTGACTAGCAGAGCTAATTCTGAAACCCGATTTGCTTATTGGAGCTTGTCTGAGAGGATCTCTTTTACATTCACGCAAACGCCCCGTAGAATGACAGAAAAGATAGTTCCAGAACAGGTCTATTTGATGTTCGGGAGTAATGGCAAAGGGTTAGGCGAAGTCTGTTGGAAGGACCTTCGTATGCTCATGGGGTACGTCATCTAGGTGATCATACTGCGACGACAACTTTAGGACGATCGTTGCGGCCTCCATGCTTGCACCATACCTGAACACACAACACCTCACAGTACTGCACTTCTCGATTTGTTCTTGAGCCATATAGCATCCGTGCCGTCCTTGCGCAGGGGCCATGCTTCCTGCTTCATGCTTCCACTCGATTTGTGCGCGTCATCTGGCACCTGCACCAACGAAAAAAGATTTTCTGGTTGCTTGTAATACGAAAATAACTGAGCTGATTCTGAAACCCGATTTGCGCGTTGGAGTTTGCTGAAAGTATCTCTCTTCATATTTGCGCAAAACGCCTCGTAGAGACTGAAAAAAAACTGCAGAGTTTGTAGCTTTAGAAATTCTGGCTGCTTGGAAAAACGACAATGGTTGAGCTGATTCTGGAACCCGATTTGCTTATTGGACTTTGCCTGAGAGGATCTCTCTTCACATTCAGGCAAACGCCCGGTAAAGACTGACAGAAAAGCTGCAGAGTTTGTAGCTTTAGAATTCTGCGCACTTGTAAAACCAGAGAAACTGAGCTGCTTCTGAAACCCGATTTGCTTATTGGATTTTGCCTGCAAGGATCTCTCGTCACATTGACGCAAATTTAACGATAGCTTTAGAAATTCTGGCTGCTTGTGAAACAAGAATAATAGTTGAGCTGCTTCTGAAACCTGATTTGATTACTCTTTATTTGAACGTGTATTCATTTGAAGTTTAAAGCTCAAACATTGCTTCCTAAGACAACACCCTTTACAAACTATGGAAAACTCGATGACTAGTAGAAAAAGCTGCAGGTTGCTGGTCTTTGAATGCTTTAGAAAGCGTCCATTACTTGGGTGCTGCTTAAGAGTTGGGTCGAAGACTTACAAGAGCTGATTTTGAAACCGCCTAAAACAGATTTCCTTCTTCCTTGTCACGGGGGGAGGGTCGCGGGTTGGCCGCGCCAATCGGGAGCTCGGATTGCGGAGGCTGGTGGACGAAAACCTCAGACTGGGCCGCAACAGTGAACAATGAGCTCCGTCACTGGTTTCATTGGGCTGCTGAACTGATGGAGTCCGCGAACTCGGGCACCACCTGCTTCTCCCCCTTCCTTCCTCGCAGCTCCTCCGCCCTGATCTTCCAGATCCTTCCCACATCACGTGGGGAAAACTCTCAAAGCGAGCACGCTGCCCTGGGCAGCGATGAAACACACCCACACCATGAGCAACCGTGCCCGAAACGTTCAAACAACCACATGGCAAAATTGCCAAAGGGCTGCAATAGGTACTGGGCACCCAGCACAATGGAAACGGCCCTTGCTCGGCCGGGCGACAGCCCTGCATGTCAGCACCTGGGAAGGTCAGGTCACTTCGGAAGCCAGCATAGAAGCATGCAAGATCCTCTGCCCCGTGCAATAGTAGCCCCCACTGCCTCCTTGCAGCCACTCTGTCGGGCCTTCATGTGAAGGTGAGGACAGCAAAGGCAAGGTTCCAACGTACTTCCCCTTGCCCAATAGCAACAAAAACATCACCGGGAAGCTGACACGCAGTGCCAGCACCTGACTACATCAGGCTGTCCCAGCCAGAAATTGTAGAAATTGTATATAGTTTCAGCCCAAACTTGCTGATCGGCATTCCCCCGGCTGCAATCCTCCTGCAAACAGCAAGTTGAAATCCTTCAACTGTTAATACCTGTGGGCAGCAGCCTCTAAAGAAGCACAGCAAGATCAGGAGGTAGATAGCAAGGACCTGATAGAGTCGCAGAACGGCGCACCCGGCACGGTGTCAGGAATCTAAGATTTTCACTGCAAAGATGCCCAGAGCAGTTCGCCAGAGCAAGACAGGCTCAATATTGAAGTGCTCACCTTGGGAAGCAAGCGATCAAGCACTCCCACTGAGGTGAGGCGAGGCGTGGCTTCCTAGCTGCGAATGCCGAGGAGCTGATGACTCGAACAGGCAGCGGTATCTGCTCATCATCTGAAGCTGCGGACACCTCAAGTGTTGGTTCCCACTCCAGGACAAATGCTGGCACACACCTTCCGCAACACAGCACCGGACTGATACATCAGCGTCAGCATCGCTCCTTTGGACACTGTTGTCAAGTCAAGCAGCTCAACGCCTTTCAACCAGTTGAACTACGCAGGCCCAGCATGCGCCACTGAAGCTGAGGGACGGGTTGCTAACTCAGCGTTCTCGCAAACATGTCATGTATGCTGGACAACCTCTCCTTGTAGGGTAGCTTCCTTGGCTACCGTCTGAACGGATGCTGTGACGTGGTCCATGGGGAACTTGGAGGAGCGACAGGCGACGGCCCCTGTCTCCCGCGCCGACGGCACCTGCTCCTTATTCAAGCACACGCTGCTTCACCTCTAGGAATCCAACTGGGTGTTGAGCCGTCTTGGTCCATGCTGGCAGACCCTCAGGCACTACTGCAACGCACGATGCCTGCTTGCTTGCTTGCTGGTTGCTTGCTGGCTTGCTTGGGAGATCACATGTTGCAGCCTCCACAATTTTCACCCTCGTTAGGGCATCTTCTGCTGAAGCTACTGCGCGGTCAGCTTGACACACTTGATTCCGTAAAGGTTCTTGTCAAGCAACATGGCCCCCTATTTGTTGTACTGTCCAGCTACCTGCGTTGATAGAAAGCTCAGGGCTAGTCTACAGGACCGACCCTGAGGACCACGGCGTGATATGCACATTCACATGGTCAGAATGTGTCATGAGACACCTAACCCAACAACAAATCACGACTGCGAGCTTCTGTGGAAGCCAGCATCCATCCAAACCATTGAGGTCGCTTTGCATTGTTAATCAAAGTATGCCCGGTGCTGACCTTTGAAATTGCAGCAGATGTATTTGGCACCCCTCGTTATCTACCTCCTAGGCGGTGTGAAGGCTGGAATCGGCTAATACAAGCTGTGCCTCTGTCGAGATCCATTTCTCAAAGCGTGGCCCATGTCGAAAGCCATTTTTTCGGGGGGTTCAAGGCGAGAGCGGGGCGTCACTTTGTTTAGGTTCACGTTTGAAAGCCGAGTCAAAGTGATTGGAACGGATGGAGTTGACCAGTACAGAATTTTGAATTCAGCACCCAGCGGAAATTCTAGCGCTTTGAAGAGGCCTCCATCGGACCCTGAACTGCATTCATAAGGCCCACCCCACAGCATTTCCATGTATTAGTTAGTGGATACCATTTCCATTTTCTAACCATGCACACCCCCCTATGCCACCCGAAGACCCAAACCATAACAACCTATACCTCAACCCTAACCTCACCA